GAGGAGGAGAATCAAGAAAGTCTGAGTTTCTGGAAAAAAAAAACGTACACCAGTACCAAGCGTCAATGCCATCCGGAGTCTTTAGAAGAGGCGAAGCTCTCCGAAGTGAGGAAAAAACAAAAAATAGGAAAACAAGACAAATTGGGGAATGAAAGGGATAGTTTGATATCTGGTGAAAAAAATATTGGGGTATTTTTATATAGTTGGATGCTTTTGTTTCCATGCGGTGCAGGTGCACCAGCACCAGGTGGCATTAAGTCACACAGATGCCAAGAATGTCCAACGCTATCGAACACAACAGTGACGGAAGAAATTAGGGAGGGAGTGGGCTTGTTTTTTTTGGTGAAAAAACTGGGTGATTTTCGTATAACATTTTGATTGTGTGCGCATACGAGGCATAATTGGAGAGTTGCTCTCTTGTAGGAGACTTCTTGTGTCTAGCGGTACCACAGTATTGCTGCATTTTCCATTTTATTTTCTTTATTATTATTATTTTGTAGGGTCCATGACAAACGGAAACATATTTGAGGGATGGAAGTAGTATAACTCCTTTTGGAGAAATAGTGCGCTCCGTGTAACGGCACTGAGTGAGGCGCCGCATCTCATTGAAGGCGGGATGGCCGTGCAAATTTTGGCGCCGCATCATGGATGAATGGTGAGGATCCACTTCAACGTGTGGCTGGCGGGGTGGGTGCTCGCTCCGGGTGCGTTGTGTGTTGGCAGCGGGGATGTGGCCGCATCCCGTTGGCCGTGGGATTGAATTGGAGGCGGTGGCGGTGTGTGCGTTTGTTGTGTAGAGGGCCGAATTCACTCACCCGCGGACGGACAGTACTGCGGTGTGTGTGTGCGTGTGCGTTGTGCGAGCACGTCCTTTTTTAGAGAGTGTGTGGCGACGGCGGTGCCACGCAGGTGTGCGACCGTAGCGAGCGGGATGCGTGGGCGAACCCTCCGTGACCACCAAGTTGTTGTTATCGTTTGCGCTCTCCAACACTGTGCTGGGTGGATGTCACCCACTTGCCGTCGTTGCGGTGGTCTCCGTGCATGTGGTGTGCGTCCTACACCGTGTGGATGACTCTATTTTTGTGACTGCTAGTCATATCCGTGCGTATCTCATTTCTCTCTTATTCCCCTTTTGATTGTTTGTTAGTGTTCAGCTTTAACTCGATCCAACTAAGAAAACAAGGAGAAACAATGTCTGGAAGACCAGAGAAAGGAATTTACGGTAATGAGGAGGGCCAAGCGTCTGCTGTGCCACAGGGAGATTCTCGGAGGAGAGCGAGGTTGGACCTTGAGGGTGACACAGATCAGCCCGCTGCGACTCTCATAAGAGTGGAGAAAGCGCAACTACAGTGGACCATGTGCAGCACCGTGAGGGACATCCTGCTGGACGGAGAGACCGACATTTCCAAGATGAAGTTGAATGATTTTCTTCGGAAGTATTTTGGCTCTAGGGAAGCCGTTGAAGAAGAACAGAATTTGGAGATGTGGGATTTTTTGGAGAGCCCCGATGCCTACATAAAAGACCAGCAGCTGCTTGAAGAAATTTCTAATTTAAAGGATTATAAGCTTTTAACAGATAGGCGTAAGCTTGCAGAAGGGGGTGTGCACTATCTCGAACATTGGAGGGACTTTAAAGAGAAGGATACTGTCACTCCCCTTACAAGGAAAAAACTTAACGATGCCCTCACTCAGATACAGAAAGAAGTAGCAAGGTGGGAGGCAGAAGAAAGGGCGAAGCGGAGGGCAGAAGAAGATGTGAGGCAGGATACTGAAGAAAAGACAACCAAGATGGAGGGATTCTACGAGTCTGTGTACGATGCGAAGTGGGGCCATGTCTTGGGGTTTTATGACGATAAGATTTGGGAGGACCGAATGGAGGTACATGAGGGAAAACCACCGCAGTCATGGACGTACAAGAAGGAAGGTCTAACTTTCGAAAAGGATGACGGTGTGGAGCAATTCAGCCCACCACGTCCCAGGCTGATGGTGCTCACCTCGGACAAGGGATGGCCGTACTCGTGGAGGGAGAATAAACCCATTGTTGACTGTTATGTGAACTGTGAGGTGGATCGAGTGTGGCAGATTGTTGAGCGTGATCTAAAAGACAGTTCCTCACCTGAGCAGCGTCTCTTGGTTGGGACGCCCGGGATCGGGAAGTCGATGAATGCCGGTTCGTACCTTCTCTACCAACTGCTGCACTGCGATGCCAAGAAAATCCAAGTGGTCGTCCACTGTTTTGGAGAGGGTGAGGCGTACGTGTTTGACAAGACCATCAAGACGGTGACAAAATACGTGGGTATTGGAGCATCTGTGACTTCTGTGTCGAGTTTGTCGCAGCGTGGGATGAAAGGGTATATAATCTACGATGTGCCAACGAATGGGTCACAGCTGCCGATAAGTTTTGCGCCCTCCACCGGATGGGGCACGATTGTGCTGGCATCTCCAAAGGTAAGGAACGCTCGTGAGTTTGTGCGTCAACGAGTTTCCCACCGAATCATCATGAATTGCCCCGAAGAGATGGATGTGAAGGCAATGTGTGCATGGATGACGCGCGATGGGACTCCACAGGAGCAAGGGAAATACTGGAGTATGGTCCATCTTCAAATGCTTTTTTTGGGGCCGATTCTACGTTACATCTTTGATGCGAATGGCTTCAGTAAACGCTATAATGAACTTGATCGTGTCTTGAAATCGATAAAAACTCGGATTGATGTAGCGTACGTTACACGTGGAGGAACGATGGCATGGTGTACCGAGAATCCGTTTTACAAACTTATGTGTGTTGACCGAAAAAGAGGAGAATTTGGTACCGAGGATTTTAAGACTGACATATCATCTGGTTACCTCGCGGATCGATTACCTCCCTTTATAGAAAAGGTAATCCCCTGTTTAGAGTTTTTTTGTATTCATTAACGAAGAGTAAGAATGCTCTTTTGCGTCTGGAATTCTGGAGAAATATGCTTTGGACGCATTCAGGAATGAGGCCTTTTTCACTAAAATAGCAGAGGAACTTAAGGAGTTGAGGTCGCCAGCACCCCAAAAACCACTGAACACCGTGCTGAGGGTGACCCCGGAGGACATCTCACCGAGCCATTTTGATTGTTTCCATTGCAACGCGGACCTAAGAAGATTGATGTAAAGGACCGGTGGTTAGAAAAATTCCGCTGGTTGGGCTGCGGATAACTACGGCGTGTCGACATCACAGGAACGCCAGCACTGTGAGGCAGTTCACTGATTGCCTGGCGGCATATTTTTATGGGTGGGAGGACTTTGCCCGAGACATGTCGTGGGAGTTTATTTACGTGCAACGGGCAGACAGTGTGCTGATGAGTGGCTGGCAGAGACGTGATTTTGTCAATTCCAATTTCGTGAGCGAGGAGGAGAATCAAGAAAGTCTGAGTTTCTGGAAAAAAAAAACGTACACCAGTACCAAGCGTCAATGCCATCCGGAGTCTTTAGAAGAGGCGAAGCTCTCCGAAGTGAGGAAAAAACAAAAAATAGGAAAACAAGACAAATTGGGGAATGAAAGGGATAGTTTGATATCTGGTGAAAAAAATATTGGGGTATTTTTATATAGTTGGATGCTTTTGTTTCCATGCGGTGCAGGTGCACCAGCACCAGGTGGCATTAAGTCACACAGATGCCAAGAATGTCCAACGCTATCGAACACAACAGTGACGGAAGAAATTAGGGAGGGAGTGGGCTTGTTTTTTTTGGTGAAAAAACTGGGTGATTTTCGTATAACATTTTGATTGTGTGCGCATACGAGGCATAATTGGAGAGTTGCTCTCTTGTAGGAGACTTCTTGTGTCTAGCGGTACCACAGTATTGCTGCATTTTCCATTTTATTTTCTTTATTATTATTA